CTAGCGACGCTCCTTGAAGCTGGACTGAAGGGCCAGCAGGACTTTGTTGTACTCCAACTTGGACGCGTGTTGTTCGGGTGGAGGTAATTGGTTCGACGTCCTCCGCAGTTCGTGATGCGTGTGTGGCGGAGCTGCTTCAGGCTGAGCGGATTTCCAGAAACTCGTAACGTTCCAAGTGGTACCAGCGCGGGCGGGAGAGCTTCGTTGGTTGTACTATTCTAGCCAAAGCAGGACATTCGTTTTCACGCAGGTGGGAACACAGGGACGGGTTATTTACAGGGACACTCAGATGTAGCGGGGCTGTTCGGTTTTTCTCACGCTACCACGACCGTGCGGTGCGTGTTTGGATTCGGTTGTAGTGCGGTGCGCTTTTGCGAGAGGGTGCGTTGCGGTGTGGTGCTGTGCGGTTGTTTTCATGTTACAGCGCGGTGTGGTGCGATTTTTTCACCTCGGAAAGTGACGGTGCGGTGCCCTACGGTCCAAGCATCACCGCACTTCTCAAGAACACGACACCGAGATTGTTGCTGTTTTTTTGGCACTGGCTAGGTAGTCTGCGGAGCGGGAGCAGCGGGCCGACAACTGTAGACTTGGAGTGAAACGCGAGGTGGCGGTAGGGAGTTCGCTGAATCGCGTGTGTGAACGTAAGTGCGCTGGGGGGGAGACGGGTTCAAAATGTGTTTGGGTTGGACGACTACGAACATGTTATTTAGAGGTGGACTTGCGGGGGATTGGCCACGACAAGGCCGAGAGTTTGACAACCAGCAAGTAGGCTATTCACCTCGCCGCTACAAGCTCATGGTGAGCCAACACGTTTATCGATAGAGACAGGGCATGTATTTTCATGAAGATGGACAAATTCAGGAGGTTGTGTCCGGCAGGGTCGGCATTGGGTATTGTGCGGGGCGGAAGCAGCAGGCCTTCTGCGGTAGACCTGGAGTGAACGCGTCACGCGACAAAAGAGGATCTCGACTTCAAACACACTGAGCACCGGCTTCTAATTGACAACATATCACTGCGGACTTACGTTTGGGTTGAACGGTTGCGAAAATGGAAACAATGGTTGGAGGTGGAGCTGCGGGGTCGACCATAACAAGGCAGCATGTCACACAAGCAGGCATATAGTAGCGTTTTTGGTGGAGGAATTTCCGAGATCTTTCCTGGGGCTGGCTTGCGACGAGAGACTCGACCAACCCAGATATTTTTGTTGATCGCTGTCTGTCCCTCAGTGGTAACCGTTTGACATGCCGGAGTGAGAGGTAAAGACAGTCGGATACGGGGGGAAGAAAACGCGGATGATGCGGATAATGGGAGCGGACGATGAACATGAGGTCGCGCCGCCTGGTCGCGTTTGTCGCCTGGTCGCGTCAACAGGCATTGCTTGCTGTTCGTCATCACTCATGGTAGATGGTAAACGAGTGCTCGGCTGGGGAATTCACGGGTGCAGCCTGTGTATGTTTTCAGCAGCTGCTTCACGGTAGCTTTGGAAACGGTTTCGCTGCTGCTGCCGCATGTTCGCAAATCGCCATTCGAATACGGGCAAGAAGGTCGAGTTGTGTATATTCCGTGTATTTGTGATGTTCTATTTTCATATGCACAGCATCCAACACTTCGTTCGGTTCATTTCTTGCATTGTAGTTCACTTGTTTGGGTGTTTTGATGCATTTTCCTAGTGTCGTATTTTTGTTTGCCACATCCGCGTCGCCTGAATGCGGTTCGAAGTATGTGGTTTTAGCCCTCAATACCCTGACGTTAATGTTGTAAATCCCGGCGTAAGCGAGCTTTTCTTTCAAAGTGAGTTTTTCTCTCGCTCCGCTCCTGGTCTAGTGGATAGCGCTAGTTCGTGTGTACACAGAGGGAAGAGAGTGCTGAACTCTTCTCACATAAAAAATCGAAGGCAAAGTACCGCAGGAGTGGAGGGTAGAGAGGGGCTCTTCTCTTCTGTGTGACCACGGGTTGGAGTAAACGGCACTAGTGCTGTGAGCACTGATTTGAAGTGAAGACGAAAAAAAAAAAACAAAAACAATGTTGCAAATCGCTGGCCGCTGACGGAAAGAGAAATACTGGTGTTTGTTTGTGCTGTTCTTCGGATTTGGCGAGGTGCACATGACTACAATGTATCGCCCCTGAAAAATATCGGCAGTAGAGTACGCTCAATAGGGTTGTCTCTGCTTCGGGAGTTGTTACCTACCTTGACGGCCTCGGCGGGTTTAGAAGTGGTGTGCTTTGCCTCCCACATTTAAAACGTACATGTAGAACTTCAAGGTCTCATAAAAGCCTTTGCTGCCCAGTCACTCTCACGTGACCACTTGTCTCACCGACCACGACCAAACGCGGTTTGTATGCACGATCAACCACCCCCTCAGACACCGCGACAAGACCCGGGGCTCTGGGCGCCTTGTCCGCCGCCTACTGTGTTTCATTTCACGGGTAGGCCGCGAGTATGGCTGTGACTTCGGGAGAACGCGAGCAGAGGCCAGCCTGTAGGCTAGCTGTGTTCCAATCCACCGCTACACCACGATCACCACTTCTTCCTCTTCTCGCGCGCGGAATCCTTTTCGTCCTCATTCTTCCCTGAACACTCCACCCAGATATTGTTGGTCTGTGCCTCACTCGTGATGTGGCTGCCGAACGTCGAGCCGAATGACTCGTTTCCGGCAACACCCATTCAGATGCCCGGTGAAAGGTAAACTACGCTGGGGTGCAGCAAGCCCATGGTGGGCATTACTTGGGGCACTAGGTAGTCAGCCGTGATAGGCCGAGAGAGAGAGGTTGAGGTGGCGTTGGAGTAAGCGTTGGAGAAGGAAACTTGATTGGAGAGAGCGACGGCGGTAGCGGTGGAGAGAGAGGAAGTGAGCTGCACGCACGCAAGCCTCATCACATCCGCCACGCCAAAAGGGTCCCCGTGACTGCACCGGTGGTACCCCACAACACACGAAATTCCCAACACGTATCCCCCTGGGATCCTCACGACCAGATACTGCTGCGAGTATATCTAACATCCCCCCTGCTCGCAACAGTTTCTCACTGAAAAAACTTCGCTAACATCTGATATCTCAACCAAAAGACGTCGTTTCCAGAATGTAATATATATGCGATCAAGATCATGCCAAAATATAAGAGAGAAAACCAATTCAAAGAAACGCATATGCTGCATCGCGCGTAACGAATCCTTGGCGCGGAAAACGAAACAAAACCAAAATAAACTCATCAGACACACAATGAACACTCACGCCAAATTCATCACAAAATCACGGTGAGACTCAAAAGCATCCTTCGACAAACTCTTCTTGAGAAAATCTGCACGCTGGTGCGGTGACGGCACGTGGATTACCGAAATTTCCTTCCTCTGTACCAGTTCCCGGAGAAAATGGTGCCTTACATCTTTGTGCTTCGAGTTCGAGTTCGAGATGGGGTTATGGGCTAGTTGAATCGCCCCCTGGTTGTCCTTGAATATTGGGATGCACGGCATGCCAACCTGTGGCAGCATGAAACGCCAAACCTGCCTCAAAAACAAAACCTCCTTCACTACATCACCAAGCGCGACGTACTCTGCTTCTGTCGTCGAAAGCGTAACGCACTTTTGCGTTCTGGAAAACCAAGACACGGCGCCTCCTCCACACGCCACGATCCCCCCTGATACCGACCTACGGTCTGCTGCCTTGCTTGCAAAGTCCGCATCAGCGTACCCCTGCAAGCTGAATCCCTCTACCGTACCTCTCTGAAATGAAATACCGAAGTGACTCGTCCTCCTCGCATACCCTAAAATACCTATCGCTGCATCCCAGTGGACCTGCTTCGGAGATGCGCAATACCTCGCTACTGCCCTAACAGCATTCGCAATGTCTGGTCTAGTCTGAGTCGCCAGCCACATCAAAGATCCGATTAGCTCACGAAACGGAAAGTCTGTCTCTGCCTCATCCGCATCAAAATCAGAAAGCTTCACTCCCGAAGACATCGGAACGCTCTTAACCCCGACTACTCCATACTCTGCTGCTAGCTCATCCGTGAAAGTCTCCTGAAAAATCGTCAACCTACCACCAGTCTCCTTGTTCCTCTTGTAAAAGCAGCCAGAATACCATCTCAACTCTCCCAGGTTCTTCACCGGCACAGACTTGTTGAGGTCAGCGCCAAACTTGTCACATCTCTCCCTCTCTCCGACAGCAAAAATATCATCTACATGTACTACCAAGATCAAAACAACACACCCATCCTCAATCAATCGAAACACACAAGCATCGGCCAAACACTGCTCAAATCCCAATGCTATCAAACACCTCTTTAGCATTGCATGCCACTGCCTAGGTGCCTGCCTCAAGCCATACAGACTCTTGCCTAATTTTACAATCATTCCAGATAGAGCTCCACATCCCTGCGGTAGGCGCATGTACACGTCTTCCTCCAACTCCGAACGCACAAAAGCTTGCTCAGTATCGAAATGACAG